CAGCTCCAGGATCCAAAGGGCCCAGGCTTGAGATCTTCTCGAAGTTCTCGATCAAAGTTGCCGTTGGTACTGCCCAAGGGTCCCATTCCTGCAGGCATTGAATTAAAGTTAACTGGTTTGACACAGAGTCTTCATTCCAGATCTCTGCAATGCGGTCAGTGCATGGATACTCTGCGACGTCTTGATCTGGTCCCTCTTGGTCGTCTTCGCAGGAAGGATCCCGCTCCAATCCCCAGAAATGGTAGTCGTTGCTCAAAGCAACCATGATCATCCTCAGGCTATCCAGGAGACATGTAATAATAGTGAGATGGCTGGACTTAGAATCATGACATGCATGCTGTACTAGGCTTGACATGGCTTGACATGGCTTCATGGATAGACATGTCTGACTTCAAAATTTAACAGATCTGGCGTTATTAAAGACCTGACAATCATGGCTTGACATGGTTTCACATGATTCCATGGCTTGACATTCATGACGTCATGCTCACAAAAAAATATGACAGGCATATGAGATGACTTGACATGTTGACAGCTAAGCGATTGATGCAGAGCGACTCAGCATCCTCAAGGCCACAACAGGAAGCTCCAACAAAAGCAGGGTCGGGCTGGCCATGGATCAAAACACAAATGTCAATGCCAAAAGCGCAGCCAAGACAATGAAGCATGGCTGTGTCTCCCCAAGTCCCACCCTGTCGCATTCTCTCCAGCCACCTGGCAGGACGAGACAGGGAATACGTATCTAGCCCTAACAGTCCATGTATGTTTACAAACAGTCGATACAGTGGCACCAGCTTTTAAACCCCTCACCTGGCATATGATTCCCCTGACACAGTCCTTGCTAGGTCACCCACTGTGAAGTTGTCCCACAGAGGTTTGTTGGCATTTGCCTCTGCCCAGTCACAAGCTATCTTGCGGATGATTCGGTTCTTGTTCCTTTCCTTCTTGACTAGGGACCATGGCTGTCGTCGAAATGACCTGGGAAAACATAAAACAGACCAGACTAGTTAGGAAGTCAGTAGTCCTGTCAATGTTAGAATTCAATACTCTGACGACTTATTTCATGAGTCTTCCAAGGTCCTGGCTCTATGAATTTGGACGCAGAAATTGCAAAAGCACCAAAAAGACAGTCACCATTGGAAACCGTGTCTTTCACATACATGTCATTCAGGTCCGCAAGTTCCATGAGGTCATGCGGGCAAGAGATTCCTCCACGACCTTGCCCTTGAGGATGGTCTGGACGCTGATACGTCTCAACCCATGTTGGCGTAATCAATGGCCGGTTGGCCATCTTTTGGAAGTGATGTATTTTATCACATGATCTGCATGTACTATGAATTTGTGGGTAGGGTTTATCCCATGGAGAAAATAAATGTTGTCAGTGTAGTTCCCCACCATGGTGTATCACATCATATCTTGGGTCCTGTGCCATGTGCTGAAGCATCAGCCGAAGGAAAGCGCCCAATCAGTTTCAAAAACCGTGATCATGGGGCATGACACCATGACACCATGACACATCTCAACCCATGCATGGCACGTCATACATGCCAACACATGTCAAAGCATGCCAGCACATGTTACTGCATGCCAACACCATGACACATCTCAACCCATGCATGGCACGTCATACATGCCAACTCATGTCAAAGCATGCCAGCAAATGTCACTTCATGCCAACACATGTCACCTCATGCCAAATCATGGACATGTCACAACCCATGGATGGCACATCATGAAACATGAGACAAGAGACAAACATGGCAAAACTACAGCAAGACTATTTTTGCTCACGTCTTGCCATTTCACCAATCTCTTTCCTATTGATGCTAGATCCGTCAACTACTGACAGGAAAGCCACACATTGAGCCAAAACTAAGGTCCTCACTGGACTCTATCATGACTGGGCCACCTTGCCAAAGGCTTCCAGCAAGCCGGTCGGCTTGACAGGAGGAGAAGGCCCACCACCATTGCTACCAGCTGATTTCGGCACTGCAGGTGTGCTCGGTGATGGAGACGGGTTCGGGGTCTGCGGCGTGTTCATCACTGCCTTCGGCTGCGGGCTGTTCTTCGGGATGGGTGCTGGCGCTGGCTTGTTCTGCTTCTCATACTGCACCAGGCTGTCTGGCTTCACCAATTGGGTAATTGGCACCAGGCGCTTCTGCCGAGTCCATCCAATCAGATTCTCCATCATCCATTTGCAGTGTGCTGCAGTGCGGGCAACCCCGATTCCCCTGCCATTGGAGAGGAGCACTCCGAGGAGCTTTGCACCAGAGCCTGGGGTCATGTCGATCAAAGTGACACTGCCCGGGCCGCCGAAGACCGCCAAGAACTCCTGCGTCAAAGTCCAATGGTGTTCATGCGGAAAGGCAACCACGTTCTTGTCATTCATGTTCAAGTCCATTGCATCGTTTGACCCATGGCAGTCTTCGGAGTCGTCCCGGTCCGGGGTCATATCATTCTCCTCACACATGTGTCAACATAATGTTATCACCATGACATACCATGACGATGCATGACCATGCATGACCATGCATGACAAGACAATTAAAGAGTTGCACAGGTCTGTTGGAGCTTTAGCTGGATGTTTTTTTAAATATCTTGACTTGTTTACCACCAACTTAAGTGCCAACGAAAGTCATAGAGCTTTTCATAGGCCAGTTCGTCCATTTGCTTGAGATCCGAAACAGGGATCAATCTCACTGGCCACTTGGTGAAATAGGTGTCCCCTCCCTCAAGAAACTGCATGGCACCACAGTGCGCGCTGGAGATGGCAGACACTGAGCAAGCAACGAAACGATCCTCAATCTTGCTCCCAAATGCCCTCCTCCCACGCTTGAACCTTTGGAGGGAGTCAGTGGCATTCGGTTCGATGGTGGCCACTGTCAAGGCATGCTTCTTGGCACCCGTCAGTTTGCCAAGCTCATTTTTCACGACGTCCAGGGCCGACTTGGATTTCAGCGTGTCGACCTCATATTAATATTATATGTCACCATTGCCATGCCATAGTGTCATGTGAGGCCAGGCCATGGACATGTGTATCCTCATGTCATGTTCATGACACAATAATCAGCCTGCTTCCCTTACATGCCATTCATGCAGGCCAACCTTGCATGTCATGATCAACAAGGACTTGTCCTGCAACTCCGCGTCACGCTCAGCACGATGAATCTCCTGCCACCAAGACGTTTGAAAATGGCACCATGTCTGTATTTACGTTGGGTTCACAGTACGCGTGCCATGTTTGGAGTGATGTCATGTTCACATGGAATGCCATGCCATGATATGCCACGTGATGTTATGTTCACATGGAATGCCATGCCATGATATGCCACGTGATGTCATGTTCACATGGAATGCCATGCCATGATATGCCACGTAATTTCATGTTCATATGGAATGCCATGCCATGATATACCACGTGATGTCATGTTCACATGGAATGCCATGCCATGATATGCCACGTGATGTCATGTTCACATGGAATGCCATGCCATGATATGCCACGTAATGTCATGTTCACATGGAATGCCATGCCATGATATGCCACGTGATTTCATGTTCACATGGAATGCCATGCCATGATATGCCACGTGATGTCATGTTCACATGGAATGCCATGCCATGATATGCCACGTAATGTCATGTTCAATGTTCACATGGAATGCCATGCCATGATATGCCACGTGATTTCATGTTCACATGGAATGCCATGCCATGATATACCACGTGATGTCATGTTAACATGGAATGCCAGCCATGCCATGATATATGCCTTGCCAACTTCAAATCGTAAAATTGTTGCCATGTCATGGATATGGCATGGCTTTCCAAGTCCCAAGTGAAACCCATCCTGCCTCATAAATGTTCACTGCACGTTCAACCCGGGTCTTGGAGACTCCAGGACCAGTTCCCCCAAATGGGTTCAACCTGCGTGCCTTGATCTGCTGCCATGCCACAGGGCCATCAAGCCTTAATTTGTGGTCTGTGGATGCCTGACGCATGGAATAATGCCATGCATGTCTACCATGATTCATGTCAAACATGTCAAGCATGAGACCCAAAAAATCATGATAAACACATGACGGGGAAAAAATGGGTCATGTCTGACATGACCGAAAAGCTCTGTAGAGTAGATGCACATCTTTCTCTTGCTCTCCTTTGCCAGGCCCTGCTTTGCGATTTTGCTTGGCAAGTCGTCGGTCAGGTCGTCGATGACAAAGGCGATCCTGGACATGATGTACTCCTTGATTTGCTGGGTTTCGTTTTCCGCAGAGGCCTTGAGGTACTTGTCCAACTCGATCTCATAGTCTGCCTTGTCCTGCACCGTCGATTTGATCACCTCCATGCCGTCAGCATGTGTGATGCGAGCTTCATGGGCATTCTCCTTGGGGGCGGGGAAGTCCAAGGCATACTTCGCGGAGATGTCACTGATGATGCTCTTCATGTTGTCATCCTGGGACCCAAGGTTCAATGATTTCCCTGCAATCGAATCCCCTGACAGCTTGCACAGCGCGATATCATAGGTCCCCCTCATCATTCTCTCCACGAAGGTGACCAAGGGTTTCAGGGACATAAAGCTACTGGCCTGTGTTTGCTGGTCCTGCTCATTCTCCTCTTCATCTTGCTCTTCAACTCTTTGGCCATCCTTTTCCCCGAGACTGTTCAGACCGAAGGTTCGTGTGTACCATGCCAACGTTCCGTGGTCATGCATGTAGCTAGCCATGTTGGGAAACTGGTTACGCAAATGCACCATGTAGTCCCTGCGAACGAGAATGGCCTTCAGAACTTTGGTCACGTCAAACCGAATCGTGCCAGTGCGCACGGGGCCCAACGCTTTTCTGATACCAGAAGCTTTCCTGTA